AAGATTTGCAGTAAAAATTAAAATGTGCCAAAAACTCATGTTCATTTGAATAACGAAAAGTCAATGGACCAATTGTCACCAAACTTGACATGTACCCTTATGGTGATATAGGGTGGTTTGTGTTCTGAGTTCACCTGTCTTCCCCTATGACTTAGTTTATTTAATAATGATAAACTGCATCTGAGACTTAAATATTGCTGTAAGCAAAGGCAACAACATTAATCAAAATTGTTAGGCCTAAATTAACCTGTTAACTTGAGTCACAACAGTCATCATAAGTTTGTAGTAATATTAATAACCGATGTCTTTTTTTACATTTATTTTGTAAAATGAATGGAAAAATTTAATGATGTTTGGACACCAAATAGATTGTGAACTATTTAACATTCTTCTACATTTGAAATTGTATAACGTAAAAAAAAAATCTTACAAATTTGACTATTAATACCTATTTTGTATCCAATTTTTACTCATAATTTTTATCATCAATGAGGGAAAATGTTTCATAAGCATGATATTCCATTTGTTTATTTGTAGATAAGCACCGCTGTGTCACTAAAGGGGGGAGGGGGCATGATATTAAATTAGATGGAAACCAGTACAGAAGATAAAGTAATGAACAAAAGAAAAAAAATTTGTTAGTTTGAACATTAAATGACCGATATGTTTGTAACTACGATCTTGAAACTCCTGGGGAAAAGTTTCCCATTGATTTCAGTTGAAGTGATTATAAACTTTTTCTTTCTTTAAACAGGCAAAATTTACAGTAATCAGCGTGTAATACCACAGGATTAGCTGAAAAGTTATTTCTATGATGTGATATAATTCTGGGGCTGTGACTTTATTACATAAAATATTAGTATTTCTAGGTCAAAACAACGGGTTTACATACATCCATCAATTAAAGATGTTTCTTTAGCGATTAACGACAGAAACTATTTTTTTAATCACCGTTTTTTTTTTCCCAGCCCAAATATCTCGACAATGACATCTTCATGATATCGGTGTCTTTTTCCCATCTTGGTAATGATGTTCACGTGCGTCTAAAATCATGCTTGGTTGAGACGTGCTTCTCGGACATCCAACTGACCTGATGCGTTATACAATACATTAAGAACAAACTTCTCTTCACACTTTATAAAGTAGAAACCAATCAGAGTTCTCTTCTAAATGTAATTGGAACCACTCGGAGTTAGAGATGATAAGAACAGGTATCGCAATATAGTTTGATGGGTGATATTTAAAGCACAGGAAAGGGGCGGTACTGGTTTCACGGATCAATAGTTCTCGCTCGTAAAGACGGCTTTGGCCAGATCCTGCTCGCTTCAGGTAGCTATCATTATTTCCTGTCTTCAGATCATCTTGTTATTTGGAACCCCTCCAGATGATTGTAAGGATTTTAGTTTCTGTAGCAGAGACAGGTTTTTTTTTGCATGAGAGAAAAGCAGAACTCTTAATTAAGTTTCCGGTGTTTCTGCTGACAGGTTTAGATAAGACATTTATTTTATTTGTTACACAGAACCTCCAAAGCATAATTCATCTCCAAATATATATTACTACTACTACTCACAAAGGAAACGTCGGCAGGATAACAGTCCGAGGTAGACCATAGTAAAGCGAAGATGTTATCCCGAACAGGATGGCAAGTTTTTCGGTTTCAATATAAAAAAAGTAAAAACTTCATTTCTGGCCATTTTACTTTACGTGACAGGCGTAATCTACGTTTTATTAACAAAAATGTGTGACAGAATTAAGAAAACAAACAATAACACTATTAGTATAAAACAGAAGTTTGAGACTTTAAAAAAAAACGCATAATCGAAACACAAACAGTGTAATGGAAATCCAAGGAGAATTTATGCATGACAGCTTGGGGTAAAGATAAAAATACTAACAACTAAGCTAAAAGATAAAGTCGTCGATTTCAATCCAGTGCTTCCATGCTCAAACTCATTATTAAATAAATTTAACGGCGCGATGAAAATGTTGAATTTGTCTCTATAAGGCGAAAAAAGAAATGGGGAAAAAAATCTTCTACTGGATAAAAATAGGGTTTCAATTAAATAATTCTATTCAACATACATAAAAAAAAACCAAAAGGATGAAATCTTGGTGGGTATTGTTACTTCGATCAATCCCAATTTCTTAAAAGAATCGACTAAGTGTTAAAGGTGCTAGGCTGGGATACAAAGAGTAGCGGTATTGATTTTGTAACAATATACCGAGAATATGTCATAGGAAGGCAAGGATCATTTGGCTGCTGTGATGTATGATCTTCAAAGCAAGCAGAAGAAACCCAGCAGACGTAAAACCGACTTCATTAATTTCAAATCACTCTATAGAGTTTTTCTTAATATTTCAACGCATAATTTTTTGAAAATCCATATATGTATATGTGTGTATGTGCGCGCGCGTACGTGTCTATATATACACACATACTTAAGAAAGAAACAATTTTTTTTTATAAAACAGAATACATCAAAAGGAAGAATAGCATTAAGTTAACACAGCATATCCAAACCTTAGATGAAATATAAATAAATGTAATTTTATGAAGAGAGAGAACCTTAGCCACAAAACAAACATCCAATACCAACACACAAATCATAAAGTGGGTCCTCATATAAAGTGTTCTGTTTTCTTTTAGGTACTAGCAGAAAGAAATAAGACCTAAATTGCGTTGGGGGGTACACCGTCCATCCGGTTGAAACTCAGGTTCGCCGGCTTCACATGCTTATAAGAAAAATAACGTCTCACATCTGCTTCTTTATTTTTCTTGTGGGCTAAAGCACTTACATCTGCTCCTTTTTCCACCACTTCTGAATACGCGAGTACAGACACGCCCTCTATAGGCATGTTGCCATCTAACGAAGTTGAGGTTAAACTGAATAGACGGTATACGCTCGACGCAACTTGGAGTCTTTATTTGGGCCAGTACCTCAAACAACAAGGACACATTACATAATGACACACCCTATGATTTGTACCTCGGTGTTTAACGTCTGTGTTGTGGCTGCGTTTTTTTTTCTCTCCCCTATCTCCATAAAACTACATTTAATTAAAATTTAATTATTTGAATGTATAAAATGTTAAACAAAACTTCATAAATAATTTGCAAACTTATTTTCGACCAACTTTAACGTATTTTCAATCACCGTCAAGCACGAAAGTTGGTAAGTTTATAATAATATTAATCAAATGATGTTTTTCAAAACATATAAAAATACTAAGACTGGTGCATGGTTTTAAATTCTTGTTTATTTATCCATACCACATTTGTATAGTTCATTTTATCCATTCTTCAAGGAGTGGAGCAAAATAAATCCAAACAGATGGCAATTCTCCCTTTATTTTGCTCTCTTTTTTTCGACAAACTTCTGAGTCTCCAATAATAAGATCAAAAGTTAAAAACTTTAGACTTTTTAATCTTTATAGATTTTCGTCACGGACTTAGACGAAAATAGCCCATTTCTATCATTTTTATCACGAACTGGGACGAAAATAGCCCATTTCTATCATATGCGATCGCGGAAACCAATTGACGTTCAGGATCTCACCTCTGTCTCAACATGTGCAGATAGAAGTGAGATCGTAAGTGAAGTAAAAACGGCAACCATAAAAAGCGAGAGGAAAATCAACCAAAACAATAGATATGTATTTGCACGTTCAGGTGCGATATTTCTTGAAGACGCCCTTTTAAATGCCCCAGAAAGCTTTATTTTTGGAACGAAATTTCAAAATCTTCTCCGGGAGATAAGACTCTTACGCGAATGGGTGCACCCGCCATACACCACTACAAAGTACAATGATAATAAAATTTAAAAAAATTCGATTTGAAAAATGTTGTGTCTCTGCTGAAGCTAGAAATACACATTATCTCCAACAGGGATCGTCTTTTTCCTCTACGTGAAATAAAACATTTTTATCGTGAAATAAAAAATACTAAACAAAATAGTCAATACACGACATAATGACGACAGCTTAAGGAAACTTAAATGAAACCTTACGTTTTAGAACACTGTAGAAGGTTTACAGAAGCACTGTCAATTAGCTTTCTTGTATCCATAACAACATAACGATACAATAACTATAGAAATATCAGTACCTAAAAAGAGTCGTACGGCTAAGTTAATTATTTTGTATAGTGTTTCAACACGGTACTGACAATGCTTTTTGAGAATCCCGGGCCATAAATTGTCAAGTCAAGGTTAAGATATAGCCATATCTGATTTGGTTGTTTGGTTTGTTGTTAAGCACACGCTATACGCTGGGCTACCTATGTTCTGTCCACCACGGGTATCGAAATCCGATTTTCAGCGTTGTAAGCCTGCTAACTTATCGCTGAGCCATTGATTTAGAAGTGATGATCTGAGAGAGCTGTCGCTTAAAAAAACTAGATTGATTGATACATTCATAACGCCTCTATATCTCAAAGAGAGGAACATGCTCAGCAGAATGTTGCGGCTCAAACCTTGGGCCGTCTCTTGAAGCACACCTACACATACACTGGGTCATGCGAGACTCTACCTTCAAAAGTCACTTAATGAGTCTGAACTACAATAGTCATTTAAATATTCGACAGGAGAAGGATATATGAACATTTCCGTGTGTGTATTTTGTGTGTGTGTGTGGGGAGGGGTTCTTAACAATGTAGAATTAAAGTAAAACGTTTAACGACGTAATACAAGTCTGTACGCTTCCAGAAATTACCACTGTGCAATTCGTATCAACAATGGTGTCTAAAAGTCTTTATATTTTCGAAAAATGCTCTATTAATATAGGTTAATACAGACATTATACTTACAAAATACACTGTCTTATATATGTTTAACTTTTAATATGGAATTGTGTTAATTCGTATGTTTCTTGCGCTTCATATTTAGTACACTCATAATATGAGAAATCAGGAATAAAAGCTTTGAAAATTTCTAGTTAATCGTTTTGATTAAGTTATGGATATTTCTGTTTACTTCCATTGAAATAACTTTAAAGAAACTTACCTTCTTCAAATGACCCATAGATGTCCCCAGAAAAGCAACAGTGTAGTCATGGGTAGAAGTCGCTGCCACAGCAGTCAGTAGAACTCCTGAATACGTGAGTACAGGCACGCCCTCTATAGGCATGTTTCCACCTAGCGGTGTATTTACGTCCATTCCACAAAAGTCGTCGTTAATCTGGACTTGCTATTTAAAGATTAGAAACTGTAAATAATCACGAGTACTTGAAGTATATATAACACTTGTAATTCATATGTACACGTTTATCAAACAAAAAAGTCCTTTATCATCACATATTACAAAATAATACAAACAATGTAATTGCATACACAATATGTTTCGTGAAAGGGTTAATGGCAATACCTGTAAATAATAAATTTGATTTACCGTGTTTTATGTTTGTATCCATTTTTCTGTTAATCTATAATTCTTCTAACGCAGTGCTCATTCCACCCACCACGCCAATATGTGTGTATATCCAGATGTGGTTGTTTACAGGTTTTGTTTTGATGGGTGAGTCTAAATCACTTCATAGCGATTGTACTCTTCATGTTAGATCTGGACTAGTTGCAATAACATGCACGAGGTTTCTTGGTAGACGCCGATATTACACGTCATTCAATTTCTCACGCACATAATCATTGATTGACGATTTTGTTCTTCAACAGCCAATAGGTCTCGAACACATCACTAACACCAGAAAACAAATACACCAGGATGTCTCTTCCCACGGTAGCTATCTGGCTCTCAGCTAGCTAGCTAGCTTTGCATCCTACCAAAGATCGTCATTTGTCGTATACCAGAAATAACGTGTAGGATTACCAATAACTTTCACCTATTTGATTCATCTACATACCTAATTTCTCTATGAGAATAATACAAATGGAAGGATGGAGAACTGAGAGGGATCCTCCCACCCAAGTTCATCCAACATCTCACTTAGTACCTCATTATTTTAGTCCTCACGTGACAATTATAGCACGCTTCTTTCTACTTTTGTAAGGTGCTACCGGTTAACTAGGACGTTTCTCTCTCTTTCCATCTAACAAGCAATTTAACATTAAACTCTAGTGAAATATCCTAATACTGAAGAGAATCTATAATTAAGATTCTTCACACGCAAGCGCTGAGATAAATGTCCTTTCATATTTTTTTATTTCATTATGAGCCATGTTCTTAGCTCACACTCTGACTTCCTTCCTCAAATCCAATGCTTATAGTTTGTTTATTCACAATTGGTAATCTTAAACAGCTGATTAACAGGTAATTAAAAATTTATTAAATATCGGTATTTTCAATTTGAACGACACCTTATGCGATACATGGGCCAACCGACTACGTCATTCCTAATTTAGAAGGGCTATAATCAGGAGGGGGCAACTAATTAGCATTACCCGCTGCATATACGCGTCCCTCTTAACCAAAAAAGCGTGATCAACTATAGCAATTATAATGTTCTCGCAGCTGAAAGTGCGGAACGTATTCAGCGACATGTTGTGGCTCGAACCTTGGACCTTCCGATACAAAGCTCGATATATGCTAACTATTAGACGACGCCCGACATCCAAAGTTCAGCAATCATTTTTTTTTTTTGCAACGTTTTCTTTTTCGGCATGACACTTGCAATTAAATCGTTGTTGGTTTACAAATATTTTGAACTGGAAATCTATCTGATTCTGAGTTATATTAGCCTAAAAAAAAATGTCCCATGGTGATGATGTATTTTTTTCAACCAGCCAATTATCTTTTGATTTTTACTTTATGTACATTCTGGTCCAATGGCATCAATGCAAGCATTAAGCTATTTCCCAAGATGGTAGTTACTAATGTAAGATACACATAAAACAGATAAAAGATTGAGTAGAGGGAGAAACTGAGTAGTTTTATGTAATCCTTGGTGGTTTTGTTTATCACTAGTCACATGAAAGTAATTTTGCTACCACTGATCATGAACGCCGATGGCACATCTAATGAGGATTAATAGTGTGCAGGGTCGACTATAGCGTAAAGCTGATGTCTGTGAATAACCGGCAAAGTCAACTCTCACTATAATATATATATATATATATATATTGATCGATTATAAATTAACAAAGAGCTTTATGTACAGTTCATAATATCCAACGTCATATCCACCTTCAGAACAGACCGCTTTCTGCGTATTAGAAACAGAAAAAGGACAGGTAACAGATGTAGAAGGGGTGTAAGGAAGCGTGTTGAGGCAATAAGCACGGTATGTAAATTGACCAACTAATGGCGTTGGTCATGCGACACAGTTTCTACATATTTCCAAATGCAGTTACCGCCGTATTTAATAACGAGACCTGATTCGCTCTAAAGTAAAAAGAATTGAGCTCGAGTGACTAAGCAAAATCATTTGAAAACGCCAACAAAGTGAAAGATGGTATAATCAATGGTATACTCATCATATGGAACAAACCTAGGGTTATCGAACTAGAAAACGTGAACTAAGTCATTCGTTAAAAATCTAAAGCGGTTTAGAAATGCAACATTAATACAAATAAATAAAGGTCCAGTGAATCGATACGTATTTAACCCTAGAATTACAGATGGCGTCCATGCCATCGGATTTCTTTAAATACAAGCTACTAAGCTATCTATTTGCCAAAATGCTTTTGGGTATGGGCGTCATTTGGTTGTGGGGACAGGGGTTATGCCCCCTTATTTTCAAATCTGTATTATATATTCTGACGCTGGTCTATTATGTTTTGGCTTGTCCCCTCCACTATTTATAAGCAAATGACGCCCCCTGCTTGTCGGTCCATGACTTTGTTGGTTACAGGGTTCGTAATAATACATACACACAGAAAACTTTAACCCAAAATACCGTTAATATTGAAATCAATACCATTAATTACTAACAGATTTTTACTAAATCTTTTTAATTCGTTCTTTAAAAAAAAAAATACAATGACTCAAAACTGTGCAATATGTGGCCTTACCGGTAGTAAACAGCACGTATGCAAGTAATTTAAAGTTTATAAGTGTTATTAAAACTCGTTTGGAGGGAAAATAGAAAGCAATTTTTACAATGTCCCCTTTAACGTGGATCAAAAGACACTGCAGGATGCGTGCGTATCAACAGTTCTAACAGATGATTATAAAATTATCGAATGTCTTCTAGACACCATTAAAGCAATAAAAGTGTTCAAGCATTTAAACAAGATGCATAATGAAAACGTAAATTACAGTTCTTTATAATTTAAATAAATTTTACTGAGAAATTCTCCTGAAGTCTAACCACTTCAACTTATGTTTATTTTAAATTTTCAATTGGAATTCGTTTTGAAAGAACGTGGAGTTAAACACGCGACTTGGAATTATTTCCTTTATTCAGATATGTAAAATAAATCAGTACAACTTACAAAAACAACTGTATAACTTTTGAATCCTTAAGAGTTTCATAGACTTATATTTCTATTCCTTAACAAGGTACTCAAATTACGTTCAACCAGAGAAGTATCTGGCATTACAAATCTTTTCTCTTATAAACTAATTTTACGTTTACAAACATTGTACCAAAACGTCGGTTGGGACACTATTTATGACGATAGCGATAGCACAGTCTCTGGTTCTGCGGGATATACATTTTAAATCCATGAGTTCTATGGTTTATTTCTCAAGGTAGTCCATTACAAACTTGAAAGTAGGACATTGGTATTACCCTGCATCTGGATAAATTCTGGTTTGATTGTGCCCATGAAAAGTTGTACAACTGGATCCAGAACCAAATTAAAACATCATCGTCCAGTAACTTTGTCCATCAAAAGTACAACAGGTTATCTACATGTATTCCATAATGATGCCTCCCCACACATGGACCCGTCCACCATCGGTAGACACATGAACCCTTGGAAAAAAAACAAAAAAAACCCGGGTGCCCTGTAGCATTGCTGTCAATTTTGGTGTTCTTTATGAAAATACCAAACGCGCTGTTCCTTGCAGAAGTCTTCTTGGCTTTAACCAGATTCACGAAGTCTGCTTCTTGCCGTTTGGTCCCTGATAATCGCTCCAACTGCTGTACTAAAGGTTCATTATCAGTCCAAGGGCTGGGAACTGACATTTCACTTCCAAATAGCCTTGTCTTGTGTATTTATACAGGCTATAGCAGGTTCATATAACCTTCAAACAAAGAACCTGACCGGCAAAATACCGGAAACCGCCTTTCAGCCCCATCCCCATCTGCGTTCGTCTGTTTTCTGAGATATATATCTAAACTATCAATGGAAAGTTAAACCCTCCGTTCCGGGTAGGTAACATTACCACGCAATCGTGTGAAAACAATAAACAAAAATGAAATGAACAATAATTGATCAAAACTGAAGACAAAATGGGTGTAGTCTTTTTCAGAATGGTTAAGTGTGTGCGCGCGCGTGTGCGCACAAAATGGTTGAAATAGATTTTTTGAAAACGCATGCAAGTGTAATTTTCTAGATTATAATAAATGTTTGCCCCCCCCTTTATTTTCATGTTGTTGTGGTTGTTGCACACATTAATATTCAGAAAAGCACTTAAAACAGAAATGTATACAGATATGTACATATATGCCGAATGGAAATATGCTTGCGTTTTAAAATGACAGTTTATTATTAATAAATGTAGAACCTTTGTAGCTTTTCTTTTATTACTTTACGAGGAGGAAGTATGATTATGTAAATTCGACGTAAAGCTTTTATTCATTTTAGAATTTCGCGCAAAAATACATAAGAGTTATATGCTATAGCCGTCCATAATTTTGAACTAGTAGACAATATTTGTTTGTTATTAAGCACAAAGCTACACAAAGGGCTATCTGTGCTTTGCCCAACACGGGTATCGAAACCCATTTTCTAGCAGTACAAGTCCGCAGACATACCGCTGTGCCACTGGGGGGGGGGGGCGTAGACAAGAAGAAAGAAAGGCAAATAATCAACAACGCCCACCGCAAATTCTTGGGCTACTCCTGTTTGACAGAGTAGCGGGAATAGGGTTAGATTGTCACCCTTGTAATGCACCCATGAACCTAAAATGTGGAAAGCATTTTTCTGCAGCAGTGGCCGTGAGCGATGGATCCTAGGATTTAGCCTGGGCACAGTAACCATTACGTCAAGCCCAACCAACGTTCAAGATATTGAAAGCTGCAATCACTGGTAGGGATAAAATTATAAAATACTTAAAATTTAATT